TTTCAGAGAAAGAAAATAAAGCTGCTGGAATGGCCCAGCCAACCACCTGACTTGAATCCAATAGAAAATCTATGGAAAGAACTAAAGATCAGAGTTCATAGAAGAGACCCAGGAAACCTTCAAGATTTGAAGACTGTTTGTGTGGAAGAATGGGCCAAAATCACACCTGAGCAATGCATGCGACTAGTTTCTCCATACAGGAGGCGTCTTGAAGCTGTCATTGCCAACAAAGGCTTTTGTACAAAGTATTAGACAAATTTCAGCAAGCGTGTTCAATACTTTTCCCCTGTGCCATTCCACATTATTACAAATAACTTCATTTCTGGACATTTATGGTTTGATTTCTTTGTATGTATGGATRGCTTGGGTTGTTGCCGACATCTGATGAAAATTTCATGTCATTAGCACCTCTAGTAATATATTTACTGAGAAAAATGMTGACATGTTCAATACTTATTTTACCCGCTGTATATTAACATGTGTATTCATAACTTCAGTTGTTTTCAATATATTGACTATTAGAAAGTTCACTTGTAGCCATCTCCATACTGAATTAAATTTGTGCATTTATTTTTTTTTAGGTTTGTGACATCATCTTGAGCCATTCACAAGCACATGGTCAGAGCTGCAGGCAGACATTCCTGCAGGTTTCCAGTTCACCACCATGGAGGATGCAATGCTGAACAGGACCAAGCTAAACATTGAACAGGCTTTTATGAGATCAGGAGCTGCAGTGGTGCGCTGTGGAGCTCTTCATGGAGAACAATCTGCATCTTCAGAGACTGTGACTCTGCTGAAGATTCTCATCACATCTCCTCTGACCACAGCTGAATCTGAGAGGAGCTGAACACTGAAGACAATCTAGACTTTCCTCAGGTTCAACATCACATCACTGCACTGACCATGCTCTATAAGTATCTGGTTAAAACATCCCTGAATTTAACCAGAGTCATGAAGAAATTTGCTTCTRAGTAGCAGAAGAGCAAAATTTATGTACTAAAAATAAAACACATTGTAATGACATTGTGATACTGTTTTATTATTGTCATTTGTTTAATAAATACACTYGCGTGATACAACTTAGTACATGTTTGGTTGCTTTTTGGYATACGTCTATTTTGGAGTTGTAGCCCCACCTGGAGAAAATTCCACCAGCRGCCACTGGTCATAAGAGATACTTGGCTCCCCCCTCAAATAATAATAATAAAAAAACTAATTACAGTGCAGCCAGGGGAACACGTGTGAARATTGGGATTACTCCAAACTTGTGTACACATCATGTGTGAACTATAGTAGAACTATTTTTCTGACTCAAGCTCATATAGTTAACACAACTTTGATGCTCACTTGATCATTTGAGGTTKAGAACCTTCAACATGCCACCAAATAAATAAATAAATAAATAAATAAATAAATAAATAAATAAATAAATAAAATCTCAGTAGCTGCCATACAGCAGAGCAGGTGGGCACGGTCGATGCATGCTTACAAAACAGCCACATGTTGGTCCTGAGAGCTCAGAAGATAAACATTTTCTCTACCCTTTATTCAACTCAGTGTTTTGTGTCCAGACACATTCAGGTCCAGAGTCAGTTTGTGCTTGAAAAAGAAACTGACATYATATTTTTCAGCACTGAGATGAAAGAAGAAAGTCACACCAACACAATCCGGTGCACACTCACACACTCCTAAGATTGCATGCCACTCAGTGCCTGTTACCGAGATCTGTGAATGTAGACCACATGACCGTTTTGTGTTTTCTTTGACGTCCAAATGGGGGAGCACTTGCTATCGCAAATACAACTGTCACAGCAGGTGGAAAAACATTACAAAAGTATTAAAAAATAATGGATAGTGTTTGGAGGAAAGAGTGAGGGGGGATTTAAAGACATTTGTTAAAAGGAAAACAGAAAAAAGTAAAATTACTCAGACAGGAAGAAAAATCCTTTTAGAACTTACACTCACTGACAACAAACATTAAGCACATCGTTTGGGGGAAATCAACTGAAACTGCATGTCTTAAYAGACAATGTAATCATTAAATTGCCTCCAAATTTACCCATTCAGGTTTCTTGTCATGAAGTGTTTTGTGATTGTGTCTGGATGTTTTGTCGAAGGGTTGCGGTTGGGAAAACTCACTCTGTGGTGGAGGGGGAGGAGCGCAGCGTTGCGATGCTGCCCTCCCGGTTGTCGTGCTGCAGTTTGGGCGAGGATGGCAGAGAGTCCGACATCTCCTCTGTCTCGTCGTGGGACGACTGGGATTTGGTTTTCTTCTTGCTGAACGCCTGCTTGAAGGAGCTGCGTAACTGAAACACAAACATACAGACCGGTCACATCAGTCCATGTGATGTCATCACATCAGGAAGTCATTCCGTGCTTAATCCAAGCAATGGCTGCTGTCTGTTTTTAGGTAAAGAAGCGAAAAGCAAGGCCGTAAGTATCAAATTGGAAAGAGAAAGGAAAGAGACAGACTTTTAATTTTTAATGAACTTAATGAGGATGAACAGGCAATTAAAATAAACATGGGGGGCGGGGGGCAAACAGTTGAGAGATGGGAGGGTGGCTGTTTCCATGCCAACGTTCCGAGAGAAAAAGCGAGGGAAAAGGCAGAACAGAGGACATCGAGATGGTAAATAACCACTGAATGCATACAGAAGGACACCATGGAAGCCACTGACCTGAGCTGGGATGGAATCAGCCACCTGAAGATGCAGAACATACCCATCGTTAAGCGATGCAAACCCACACTCATGCCCGCTTCACACACTACAGCACAGTTTAAGTTTATACTAATATTAGTACCTCACAAAAAATGGCTAGTCAGATATTAGCTTTTTTGCAAAATAGGTTTGAGAGATGCTACATTAACTAATATTAAACCCTCTGCTGTGTTTCCCGTACCTTTGTTCTCGGTACTTTTGTGTGTTTATAGCTTAATGAATAACTGCATCACTAACATTTTAATGGATACCCGAAATGTGAAGTGGTGGATTGAAAAAAATCTTAGTTTTAAATATTATCCAAGGAATTATTCTCATAGAAATACAAATTACATTTTCCAAATTTGATTGTATGCAGTGTTTAAAACATACATAATATAATGGTTAAAGAAAATTAATAAATTTCGAAAGACCCATTATTAGAAAGCAGCAAATCAGTTTTAAAAAAGCCTTCACTAAAAAGCTAATAGTTTGACTTTAAAAACAGAAGGGAAGTTAAAGTTGACTGCAGTTGATAAAAAGACTGCACTAAATCCAGTGACAAAAAGAGATTTATTTATTTTTATTTTATTTTATTTTATTTTTTACATTTGTAAGTGATCACAAGTACCATATTTTCCAGACTATGAATCTCACTTTGTTTTCATAGTGGTCTGAGGACTTATACTCTGGAGTGATTTATATAGGTTTTTTTCCTCTTCATGATGCATTTTTTGATTGTGTTAAATGTGGGCGGGGCTCAAAATATTTCAAAAGCTCAAATCTTATTTTGGTTTATTTGCAACATAACAATAATATACTGCAGTGAACTCAAAGGAAAAGTACCAAATTTTGAACTGTACTGTTAAGCAGTATGACACATAATGCTATGTTCACACCAAARGCGTTTTGAGCAGCAAAAAAGTGCCCAATGCCTCCAGTTGGACGCGCTACGTTCAGACCAGGACAGAGACTAGACACGCGTCTGAAGTGGGAGGAGCGTCTTGGTTTTTTGCCGGTCTGTCTTTGGAGGATGAAATAAAGATAAAATAAAGAAAATGGCTTTGCTTTATTTATTAAAGAGCAAGCGAACAGCAGATAATTAATTCACCAGATAATTTAGAGATGGTTTGTTTGGTTAGTTTCACCACTCCAGGAGCTGCAAGCTGGCYGACTATTTCTGTCCCGAGCCCAGTTTAACACCGCGGTCAGTTTAACGAGCTGCTGACCCACATCGGTGCTGATATCACCAGCCAGAACATCAACTGCAGATGGTTGATTTAAGCTAAAGAGCTCCTGTCCGTCTGTTTCGGGTTAGTGGGCAAAATTCAGGAAACTGTCACGTGCAAAAATGAGTCTCTCATGAGACGCTCAACGCGTCTCTTAAGACGCGTCTCTTAAGACGCGTTGAGCGGCGAAAGGAAAGATCAGATTTTTGAACTCAGGCGTTGGCTGTTTTCGCCGCACCGCATGCACGAAAAAATGCTCTGCCGTGTTCCGTGTTCCTTGCTTGCCGCGCTAAATGGACCTGACGTGCCGCAAGACCCCTAGAGGTGCGTCCACCATAGACTTTGCATGTAAATTGGCTGCTTCTGCAGCTCAAAACGCGTTCGGTGTGAACGTACCATAAGACCAGAGCGCAAGACAACAGAGMACGGTAAGTGTTAGCTTGTTGTTGTTTGGTAACTTGCGGTTACAGTCACTCCAAATAATTCACGTAAAGTTACTCTCATCTGGGTCATCTGTCTGTGTTAATTAAGGCTATTCAATATTCCAGGAGGTACAGTATGTTCTCTGTGTTATTGTGTTAGTCCAAATTAGATGTAAGTTCTGATGTGACAGTCAGGTGCAGTTTATACATGTTTTTTTCCTCTTCAGGATGCAGTTTTRGACTGATGTGACTTATACTAAGTCTTATACTACTTATAAGTTACTTATACTAAGTAACTTATATATATATGTAAGTGCATATGAATGTATGTGTATAGCTGGATGAATATACTTAAATTTCAATGTTTGTTCAGGTGCATTAAATTCATGTGTTTATGTATCCTTTAATGTGTAGATATGAGGAGTGATTGTAACACAAAGGGTTGTACAAGGGTAAATAGAAATTTACATTGTAATTTAACGATTTACTAAGTACCTGAAGTTTATTAATATATATTATTTGAAAATAGTATGGGGTCAGAGTTTATAAGTTTTTTACTTCTTCCTACTCCATTTCGAACATGCTGAGATTATTATTGTCATAAAATATGTGTATTTTGTATTTAATATGTGTAATATGTTTAAGTATGGTTATCTCTTTGTATTGTAAGGTCATCATGTTCGAAATAAATTTGTTTGATTGATTGATTGATTGATTGATACTCTGGAGCCACTTTTAATCCAGAAAATACAGTATTGCCATTGGGGCTAGATAAGATGTTAACGAGGACTGAATTTAGCCTCGAGTTTGACACACGTGTATTAAAGGTATGCACAAACACTAATTTAAGTGTGGACAAACTGACAAAGAGATGCTGTTGGGTTGGCAGCACAGTTCTAGATGCACATCTTCCTTTGAGAAGATGGATACAAAAAAAATGCAAATTTGCACCTGTAAGAGACACAATCCAATCCATTGGTGAATTTGGGGTTTAGGATGTTAAAATCATCTATCCATCATCATTAAGGATAAGTTCAGGATAATGGGTAAGATAAGCAAATGGGCAAATTGGGGAGGGGGCAAACACATCATCTATGATTTTGTTGAATTCATGTTAAACTGTTTCTATGCTTTYTGAAAACTTCTTGTTAAAAGAAGATAATTTGTGTATTTTGAACAAAAAGAAACCATTCCACCTTTCTAACTCATGACCCCATCTTTCACTTACCTCCCTGCTACAATTAGCCCACTCCTTTTCTTAACGAACCTCCACTGAGTCAGGAATGATGTCAAAAATTCACTGACGCTCAATGAACATGGGTGTTGTACTCAGGAGTGAAGTTCCAGGCCGTTAGCTCGCTGTTTGCTCTGCGGCAGAGGCTGAAAACTGGCTTTGAGCTTTTTGGCTGCGACAGACCTTCTAATTTGTCGTGTGTCAGACTAGGGGGGGGGGGGGGGGGGGGGGGGGGGGGGGGGGGGGGGGGGGGGGGGGGGCTGCAGCATATAACAGCACTCACCCAGGAACACAGACAGCCAGAATCAAAGTCCGAGAAAAGCGCATAAAAGGAAAAAAAGGCTTTATAATTGTGTACGTTTTTACATAGTGTGAGCTTTTTTTTGTGCCTTGATCTTTATGGTTTTGTGATCATAAATGCTTGACATTAAAAAGAAAATTGGAAATGGGCTGCTGCAAAAACTAAGTCTGCATGACCAAGTCCCAGCTGAGTTAATGAGGGATTAGGAGTCCTTTTAAAAAACACTCTGACAGCACTTTTTAAGGAAGATGACTTTCCCTCTTGACACTGAATTTCAAATCAGCACTTATCTAAACTCTGAGCAGATGCTTTTTTTCTAGCTTGAACCAAATGACCACCCTGCTTCCTGCTTTTTTCGGGGGGGGGGGGGGTAATTTTGCTTAAGTGAGTGTGTTTCACTCTGCTCATCCCTCTGACAGCCTCTGATGACATTTAAAAACTCAGCTGAACTAATCCWCACCTTGTAACCTAGCAACGGTGACAGACTAGGAGGAGTGGGATTAAATTCATAGGATGTTGCTTATTGTACACTTTAGATTAAAGTGTTTAAACACAAGAAACGTTTCAACTGTTGCAACCTTGAAGCATGAAATGTTAAAACCACCTTCAATGTCTTAGGATTTTCTTCCACTCTTTAATATTTTTTCAAAAGTGATGGTGGTCAGAGGGTCRGGTGGCGCCGYTGCATGGCAGCCCCACCTCTGTCAGTGTGCCCCAGGGCAGCTGTGGCTACAGTGTAGTTTGCCATCATCAGTGTGTGAATGTGAATGTACAGTATATGTAATGGGTGAATGTCTGTTAGTGTAAAGCGCTTTGGGGTCCGGAGGAACTTGAAAAAGCACTCTAAGTTCAGTACCATTTACCATTTACCAAGACATTCAGCTTCAAAAAGCAGATAAAAATCAGATATATACCAACATTTTTGAAAAGCACCYCCTGACGTTTCTTGTTTCATCTTCTCAGCTGTCATCTCACAGTTAGTCCCCATTTTCTGCACTCACCCAGCTCTTTTTCTTCTTCTTCTTATCCTCGGCYTCCTTGCTCAAGCTGCCCATGCTGGAGTGACTGGCTGCGCTGTTGATGCTGGACATGCTTTCTGACGAGTGCTGCCGTCTAATCCGGAGGTCTGGAGGAGACAGACAAAGAATTCCTCAGCGTGCCACGAGTTAAGCTGATCCGTGTGTGAGAACGTGATGATGTTGGGTTCTGCAAGGCTCGGCTGCGACCCGTTTGTGTAAACCTCGACACTTGAAGACYTGATTAAGTGTCAGTCAGTCGTACATCTGACTGACTGAGGCCAATTAAGGGTTTCCCAAAACTGACGTGGACATCAGAAACACCTTTTCTTTATGTTTTATTTTATTTATTTATTTATTTATTTTTCTATGTGTATTTAACTAATCTGCATTTTTTCCTTCACATTGAAGAGTGGAGATGGAGTGGCCTTATTGGCCCACATTGACGTAAATGAGGGTAGAAGCGTCACCTTCAGCACCCAGTGCCAGTTAGGGGATTCGAARCTGCAACCTCCCAATCACAGGCTCGCCTCCTCCAACCTCTGCACCACCAGTTTTAATTTATTTCTACATAACTTTAGCAAAATATCTCTTGCATCAATAGATTTTAAATAACCTTTTTGAAAGTAATCATTGGGTCGACATCTACAGTTGAGTAAGTCAAGATGGCCGCCATTGCCTTAAAAWTTTTTTTATTGACCTTACAAATAAATGTCTATAACTCAGCCAAATTTATAGATACTAGGCTAAAATATGGTGTGTTAGTAGCTGAGAGTCTTCTTCCATGTATACTCTGAGACCTAACTGATCCGTGTTTAAAACTTTGCCATTAGTTATTAAAATCAGCTCTGGTTGTCTGTTATCGAAAAATCCTCTGAAACATTGAATGGATTTTAATAAAACTCAGATGTGATCATTGAGTTGACATTTACAACCAATTCGCTTTTGGGTTTAACCAAACTCAAGATGGACATCATAGTCAACTGACCTTTGTTCAGCTACTTATACAGATAATGTGCAAAGATTTGTATGCGTTAGTATCTGTATCATCATACATAATCTCCAACACACACTGATTAATTTTTGGAGTGAACCCAGTTAAAGAGAGCTACTGTCATAGTCTGTGTTTATTTTGCTTTGGTTTTCCTAGTGTTTCAGTGTTTCCCCTGTGTTTTTCTGTTCAGATGCCTTGCACCCCACACCTGATTTCTGTTGTGTTTCTAGTTTGTCCTCATTAGTTTATCTTTTTATTCGGTGTCCTGTCTTCAGTCTGCGTCTGATCATTGTGCTGTTGTCGTCCAGCCTGCTCCGTCCCTTGGTGTTATTTGAAGTCCTGTTCCATGAAGCTAAAGTGAGTTTTTTGAGCTGCCTGCCAGCTTTTCTTTTTTTAATAAAAGCTTATTTTTGAAGATTCTTAAGTTTGTCTGTGCCCTGGGTTATTTTTATGTCTGAGACTGTCAGAATGATCAGACCAAAGACCCAGCCCACGGACAAACTTTTTTCAATCAGCCTTTTCCTGAGGACTGTGAACGGTCGTCTGGTTCCACCATGGCTGGTTTTTCCTCCTCATCTTCGGGGSAGCTGGTCCCATGTTTGCCACCGGAGGAGCAATGGATTACTCATTCCCTGATCAGCGGTTCTTTGCTGTTGCTCRGGTGGTCTCCCACCTCTGCTACCAGACTTCAACTCTGCTGTCAGATTGTGAATGTGCTGATGGCATGTCCTGAGCTGCAGTGGCTGCCCGGTCACCAGAAGGTCTCCMCTTTCGCCCAGAGGGTCTTGGCTGAGGGCTCCATCACCCACCCTCCTCTGCTGTTGTTCATGAGTCTATTGAGTCGTCCAAGGTTCCTGAGTTGGTGGTTCCACAGTCGGTGGTTCCACAGCTGGTGGTTCAACATCCGGTGGTCTCGGTGGATCCACAGTCGGTGGTTCCGCAGCTGGTGGTTCCAGTTGTGGCAGAATGGGTGTTACCTGTAACAAGTTTACTGAGCAGGTAAATTGGTTGGCCAATCACCCGAAGGGGGTGCCCTAGATAAGTGAGCTAGTTTCCTTACTGTYACCTTTCACTGAACTTCCGGGTTACCAGTGCCATGGCATGAAGCTGGTTTGATTGATTTACTCTGTCGGAGTACTGTTTTCTAAGCCAGCGAAGGATAAGTTTGCAGCTGGGCTGTTATTAATGAACTTATTGGCTTTGTGAGAACAGTCATGGTTGAAGGTGGCAGATTTTGGGATCTTTGGAGTTAACTGGTGTTTTTTCTGTTCAGTTGAGAAAAATGTTTGTCTGCTCGAAGTAGGACACAAGTGCCTTCTTCTCCTCCTCCTCCTGATGGTATGCGTTTTATTGAACAGTTTATTTTTAGTTTAATATGTTTGTTTTATATTGGTTTCTGCATTTGTG